AGAGACTGAAATAAATCGAGTGGTGTCTACTTTTACTGAGAAAGCTTTTGAATGGTTTTAATATTGCTGGAGCTTTGCAGTTTCATGGAGTGTAATTTTAAGAGGCTATAAATAACATCCATATTTCAGCAGTATATTACATTGGGTAAATGTGCTATATACATATGTATGAATTTTTAAATCTAACAGTTTATCAGTAACCAAGTATTAAAACAAAAATTTAAAATATCGTAAAACTTGTTGCTACAATAATGATAAGTCAAAAATATTCAGTGGTTGTTATTCTGTTTCTGAGGAACATGAACACCATTGCCACAGTCTGAGCTTATCCTGTCCATGAACTAGGTAGGTGTAAGCAATGGACAAATGAATGTACAGATACAAGGGTGTTAACCAGAATTTTCAAATAATTTTTGCATTCCTGCTTTCTGAAATCTGACAACAGCTTTGTTTAAATGCACAAAATGTAATGAATGGATTAAAACGTATTCAGATTAAAAATGAAAAAGTAACCAGATTTTATCGTTAACAGCTATATATTGATCTATAAATAAGAGCCAACTAATATGACACATTTTTAATCATAACTGATGTCCATGTAAACATAGCTATTGAGAGCACAAACTTTGGGTGGTGGCCAGTTAATTATTATGACAGACTTCCAAGCAAACAAATATTTTGCATAGGTGGAATAATACTTGCTGCTATAAACCTTATGGTTGTTATCGCATGTGCAAAGGAAGTGCATGATCCATGTTAGGGTCTAAGTTCTGTCAGCTTGACTTTTTCTGTTGTTCAAAGCAGAGATTGGGGATTTGGAGTCAACAAGTCTCTATGTCATGTAAACGTTCTGCTCAGCCAACGAGCCAGGCAAGTCCAATCTGCACAGGTTAGTTCACTCTACAGATTGGACTTACATAGTTCAGATGCTGGACAACCTGAAGCCCAAACAGACAATAACAAGAATAAACAAGGAAAAAGTTAACTTATGAATGCTTGTCAAAAGGAGATCCAAAATGAAGTAGAATCAGCAGTTTGGATGTGTCAGTGCCTTTCACGGAAGCCCAGAGAAGGAGAGAATAGATCCTCTCCACAGCAGCAGGGAAGGGAAGGGAATCTGAGGTAATCAACACACCTAGGGCAGGATTAGGAGATGAATCAGGACCAGGGCCGTAACAGTGGAGAAGGGCACCCACCCCACTGTGACCCTGACGGGTTAAGTGGGACAAGATGGATGGATGGAAGGTTTAAAATGTTATCCAATACGTTCCAGGTTTAACTCTTTAGCATGATTTTCTTTGAGATCTTGATGTAAATCAGCATGAAATTATAGCATGAACAAAAAAACTGGATAAGAGTTAAACAGCTATGAATTTAAAAGATTCTTAATAGCAGTGTCCTTGTTTGGTGATGAGGATCATATTGTCCGAGCTGTAGACTCCCAATGCTGCAGGCTTTTGTGTGTCACACATAATGGCTCTGTGCTCAAAACATATTGTTCAGGTTTAAAATTTACATAATGTGTTCACCTTGGCATTTCTGTCTTTTTGTAGCTATGATACAAAAGATAACGCTTGCACAAAAGCCACAATGCCACACACACACACACACACACCCCTACAAACACAAATGTGGTAAAGGTGAAGCAAGCCGTTCAGCTCAGACACATTACACAAACTAAAAAGGGCTAATCTGGTCACAAGTCCAGATTTTCAATGGGTTTTCTTTCTTTTTGTTTTTGATTTGTACAAAAGAACAAAAACACAGGCAAACTGAGCATCTATAAAGAAGTGAAAGCTGTTTTCCACAAGTCTAAAATAATTGATGTAATGCCAGAAAAGAGTTACAGTCTGCCGGTGATACATGTCACCATAACTAGAAGAATATACTTGTTTTAGAAAAAAAGAAGCACTGGCCATTGGATCATTTTGTATCTTGTTAAGGGTCAAATAAGATGGAGTGTGACAGCCCACACATTGTCCTGTCCAGTAGTCTCTGCTAGTCATTTTTTATAATGAACACCACAAAAAAAACATCTTTCTTCTTTTTTCACCTAAAAGGCATTTAAAACACTTTAAAACCTTTATGCAGCAGCAAAACACTAACATAGTACAACTCTTAGTGTAATAATGATCTTCTCAGGGGGTGTGGCTTTGATGTTTATATTTTATCCTCATAAATGTCTTTTGCTCTTACAAGAAGCTCTTGCCGACCTTAACAATCTATACATGTGAGTCAGAGCAAGCAGAGCTCTTGGTTTGCTTTACTTAATAAAACACACTCTGCAGTTTGGCAACATTATCACAAAAGGAGGAATAAGATCAATACTTTTCTATGCCTTAAAAAAAAAAGAGGCTCTTAAGTTGTTGCTTTCTATTTTTCTTTTTTGGTTTTCATCTCAGCATCTGCTTCGAAAGTGGCTTCTTAACCCTTTTAAGAGAGGATTTACAGAAATGTACTCCCGGTTATAAATTGATTTACAGGACATATTTGTAAAATGTACTGAGCAAAGCCACAAACTTTGAATGAAAACCTTGAAAATGTAATGCCCAAAAAAGGTTTTGGTAATTTTAAGAAAATAACCATTTGGTAAATAGCCCAGTATGTGCTACAATGCAACTCTGACTTTTGGCTAAAAAAAAAAAAAAAAAAAAAAAAAAAAAAAAAACTGTATGGAGTAAGCAATTTATTTTCAAGAAAAGCGATGGTTAACTGATGCAGTCTTTATACCAGCTTTGTGCAGTGACAGCAAGGTTAACTGTGGTTGCAGCCAGAACTAGCTAGCTGTTAGGTGCAATAACATTTGCCATAAATGAAGAAAAATGGATTGACTATATTTTTATTGAGGTAATGTTTGAAGGAAATGACTTAATTGTCAGGAGACTGCATTACATGTTTACTCTCTTTTTACTCTTATTTCACCTCGAAAGTTCACATGGATCAGTGCCTGAGTTCTTTTGGTGCATATGTTCATTTAATTAACATTAATGGCTGGTTTGAAGTTTTTGACAAATTGTTAAACACATGCAAAGCATTACATTTGTTTGCCACACATGAAATAACATCAACAATTATCTTCATGTGAAACAAGCAGTTTCTACAAGGGAGTTAAAGGAACTGTTAATGGTATGTCTGAAAGGTAAGCTTATAACAAGAGACACTATATACAACTTAACTTTGTTTTTATTGTTTTAATATATTATTTTAAATTTTTTTAATATGTATTTTATGTTGTGGCCGTAACTTTTGGGTGTTAAGTGAGTCTAATGTTTTTTTGTATTTCATATAAAATAACTATGATTAAATATGAATATTTGCATTGATTTTACAGATGTACCAAGTTACATTTACTTTTAGAAACAAAATTACTTTTAGGTGAAGTTGTACTTTTCCTTAAATTTACTTAAAGGCACACTATGTAACTTTCATGTCTAGTGCCCTTAGTGGCCACAAGCGGCGCTGTACTGTTGAAAAAGTCAACAGTCAGCCGGCCAGCTTCTGTGTCTTATGATTGGGGGCTGCACTAGACATCTAGGTTCAACTCAGAGGACATGGGAAACTTTGCTGTATTCTGGAGAGCAACGCGAGGACAGGCTGGACCGCACCATGTGGCATGGAGGACAAGCGGCGGAGCTCCAGTGAAGAGCTCCGTTATTCCAGGTCACATGACCTGGTCAACCCCGTTGTGTCTTCTCCCAACCTACATAGGAGGTATTTTAAGAGGGGAGCCCCGCTCATAGCGCTGTATATTGGCCTGAGGAAAATAACTCATGTTATGTCTTTCATCATGTCTTTCGGTCACAAAGTCAGTGGTGTGTCATTAGGAATACAGCTACCCTTACTTAATTAAAATCTCTGAGTGGTTAATGGGAATAAAAAAATACAAAGCTTTGGTTACTCACCCACCACAAGTAGCTTGAGCTATTTGAGGTACAGTGAATATTGTCAGCAGGAGTTCTTTACCCTGTCTCGAAGGACCCAGTCCAGGTAAACCGGGTCCTTAGGGGATGCAGCAGCTGAAATCGGATACAGCTATAAACTCTGGGCATCTGGGGACAGGGAAGTCTGGGAGTCTTCACTTGTCCAGGAAAAGTATAATTTATTTATTTATTTGTGTTTTTGCATCTATTTTACTCTCTAAAATACCAGAATTTGGACTTGATGTCTGTCTCCTGCTTCTTTTCTAAACAATGCTTCTGAGGTTATGATTGAACAATTGCTCAGTACTTGAATATTCAGAGAATTATCATTTCTTTATATTACTCCCTTTCTTAGAGATGATGCCAAGCCAAACTATTGAAACCCTTTTCATGGACTATAAATTCACCTTGCCATTTATGTCACAGATTCTGAGCGAGCAGGAGGGAGCGATTAGGAGCAGTGAGAAATCATTATAAAGGTGACCGGGCATTCTCAGGGGACACCACCTTCAGACATACAGAGGAGAACTCTCACTTTGTAATGCAGTTCAGCTGCTTCCACAGAAAGCAGCTTTACACAAAATTCAGCGGAAAAAAAGACAATGCACCACAGCAAAAAGGATAAATTGTTGTTAATATTTCAAAGATTTACATTTTGTTTTTAAGCCAACTAATTGAATGCAAGGAAAAAAAGTATGATGAACAGAATTCATTTTAGATATCATCTGGTAAAAGGGCCAACACCAACTTTAGTAGCATCTTTTCAATATGAACATATTTAGAGTGTACTCAACCAGTGCCTTGTTATATAAAACAAACAAAACCCCACAAGTGTTTATCCTGATGGATACATGCTAAACTGCTCCAGATAAGTCACACTGACAGTCTCCAATAAGCTGTGAAGTACTAAAGCATGGAGGCAGGCTGCCTCAGCTCTCATTTAAAAGTCAAAGTAGTTTTCATAAATTATTCAATCTGTTGAAAAACTCCAAACAAACTCATCTAGTGAGTTTATTTAGCTCATAGTTATTGGATTACTTAAACAAACATAAACACAATGTACATATATGTTGTACTCACCCTAAGGTAGTCATGGTGACAATGGTATACCAAAATGAAGCTGGGATGCTGGTAAACTTGGTGGAGCTGGAGCCCTTCTCGGCATAAAACATGACGGTGGCAAAGATGATGATGGCCATGGTGAGAGAGAAAAGGAGAAAGCCTAGCTCTGAGGCACAGCTCTTCAACGTATAGCCAAGGATCCGAAGGCCCTGGGAGTGGCGGGAGAACTTGAAGATGCGGAACACTCGGAACACACGCAGCGTCACAAAGGCACCACTCACGTCCTCATTGTTTGTCATCACAAGCCCAATGTAGTATGGCAAAATGGCCACCACATCAATGATACTCATCACAGAGCGCATGAAACGGTAACGGCTGGGTGCAGCAAACAGGCGTAGCAGGTACTCCACAGTGAATATCATGACACAGGCAGTGTCTATGCAGAAAAATGCCACAGTGTAGCGTTCGCCACATGGCATGTCTTTTTGGTTGGTTGTAGAACCACAGGGCACCGTCTCCACCACGTTGGTGATGACTGAGATGGCAATGAAGAAGCCGGTGACATAGTAGAAGACCAGGGCCAGGGTAGAGGTATGGGGATTCTCAAAGGCGCGCCACATGGTCTCTCTGAAGTTCAAATTGGGCAGCTTCAAGTCTTTGTTTTCCTCCTGGTCATCCTGCAGCCGCTCCAAGTTCTCCCTTTTTCTGTCCTTGTACTCTTCATAGCAGCAGTCACCTATGATCTCAGGTATAATGCCGAAGAATGTCAGCTCCTCATCGTAGGCTGATATACACTCATGACGGGGATAGTGGAGCTTTCCTGTTCGGTAGAAGTTGAGGATGCTTCTAAAGGCATCAGGGTCTCGGTCAAAGAAGTACTCCTTGGTTTCCTCATTGTAGAAGAAGTCCTTCTCTGAGCTGCCCAAAAGCGTGTCAGGGTATCGATCCAAAGTTGTTCTCCATGTTTGAAAACGGCGGCCGCTGACATTAAGGACGATCAGCTCATCTTGTTTTTTGCTATTGTCTGTCGGAGCAATGGGCATGGGGCAGCTAGCCACAGGCATCCACCCGATGGCCGCAGCCCTAGCAAAAGGAAGCCATGCTGCTACTCCTGTTGCCATTACAAAGCAGAAGGTTGGTCTAAGGCTTCCTTTAGACGTCACTGCTCTTAGAAGGAACTTGCATCTAAGGAAGATTTGTGCAAAAAAAAAAGACAAATGTCAAAATTAGCAGCTGATAAAAAAATGACTGCCAGTGATTGCTTGCTGCTATAAAGTCAGATAAAATGTTTTGCTACTGAGTTCACCATTGTTCAAATCAAACAGAAAAAGATAAAATAATATTAAGCCACTTTGACAGACATAAACGATGATCTGTAAAATAACTTATCAAAACTATATCAGCTATAATAACCCATAACAACCAAGATGTGTAATCATTTCTTAATTAGTGAAGTGAGATACTGTAAGTTAGCGATATAAGGTAATTCATAAAAAGATATATTTTAAGTGACTGACAGAATCAACTGATACTGTGAAAGAAATTCACATTTACACCTACAAAAGTTACATGTTCTTAATTGTACCTCCCATACTTGTGATGTTTTTTTAGAACACTTCTAAATGAGAAAATATGGTTTTGTTAAAATTTTAAATATAAAACATATTTCATATAATTGGAACCCTTATTGAATGATTTAGCTATTTCTACGACTGCAAACTCAAATTTGAACATGAGTAGAATATCTTATAAATCAAAGCTGTGTATCATACAAGAGCCCTGAGCTTTTTTGAGAACAAAAACATTTTGATAGATGTTAATCCTTTATTAAACAGCACAAATTTTTCATCCAAATGCGCACAGATTTAGCCGTACAAAATGTGTTATCTATATGCATTCATACAATAAACATATTTTTCCTCATCTTTTTATTTGTGTCAGGTAGACTCCAGTGACAGCTGATGGAAATCTGTCAAGTCATTAGTCCTCTGCATTACTATATAGGTCACATCAACCATTTCTTTAGTTTCTTAGTTAAAAACATAATTGGTGTTATATGTAATATTCTGAATTACTAAAAACTGGAATTGTATATGAAATCCATACAACATGTGAGCTTCACCGTGTATAAAACTTATATTAAAAATATATTTATCAAAAATGTATTTATTAAAACAGATATTTATCTAAGCATGTACCACAATAAAGGATCCAACATAAGGTGGACATTTTTTAAATTATTATTATTGCTCGTTTCTTTTTTTATATATATTAAGTCAATTTAGTTTTTTATATATGTGCATAATCTTATTATAAAGAAAATGGCTATGGGCAATGTGACAAACAGTTATGGTTAAAAAAAAGAAAATCAAAAATAGGTAGAGCCAATGGTCTGATTTTCCTGCAGCTTTGACTTCGAATGTAAACATTAAAATTAACATTATATATAGTTTGGAAAGTTTTCTAGTCAAACTGTGAATGAGAAATGAACCATATACCTGATGCACGTCCTTTCAATTGAGAAGCTCACAAAAACTGAATCAAACCTGTTGAATATAAACTACAAAATAACCCGTTTAAGAAAAAGCTGCAGCAACGTGATTATTTATTTTTATTTTATTTAGCATTCATTTTATACATGCAGATTATAACTTTATCCAAAACTGATTTCAGATTTGTCATGTCAGCTGATGTGTTTATTTAAATTGGCACGCGTTTCCTTCCAAGAAGCCTCCAAATAATAACTTCTCCAACAATTTTTGAATATTCTCATCCAAAGCATATTTTAAATTTGACAATTTCCAGAACAAATGTAAGATACTCACCAAATCAGCGATGAACTTTCCCGTCAAAGCCAGATCATCAAGGTTTTTTTTTAATGAACACAGAGTCTGTAGGAGTCAGAGCGACAGAGGACGGGAGCCCGCATCCATCCAGCGAGCAGCGCGTCTCCTCCAGGATAGATGGATCGACAGCCTTCCAAAGCGGCACAATCGGAGCTGGGAATCCTCAGAGAAAAAAATAAAACGGCTCGATCCGAGATACTGTGAGTGTTACCTGGCGGATTCTACATGGTGACTCCTTTGTTCTCTCGTCAGTGTTTGGAAAGTGAAATGTGATGGAGAGGAGGCGCGCGCTTCCTTCGCTCCTGCTGAATAATGTGCGCCTCACTCACTGAGCCAGCTCTGTGTCAGTCCTCCTTCTCCTCTCTGCCTCATTTTACTCATCTCTAACAGACCAAGCTGTCACTCAACGTAGCTATACGACATCATCTTAGTGTTACCTTTATTCGATTAGAAGTATTGAATAGATATACTATATAATATATACATATTCAAGGGTCAAAGATCAAGTGGTGAGCTGATAAGATCACGTGCAAAGCAAACCTGGCAAATAACTTTAAATCTTAAGAGAATCTGTAAAAAACAGATGTTAATAGGGATGTTATAAGTAATTAATATTGAAGCTTTATGTAAGTAGAGTAGCTTGTAAAATCTAAAAAATTTTAACTCTAAAATACTCCAGGCTGCTATGGATTCATTTTTCTCCCTTTTTGCTTTGATGTTGTTTATCTTAAAATGCAGCAGGACTGTTGAGAGGTCTGTGAGATAATGATAGTTAACACTAGAAATCCTCTGCTGCATCTGATCTTTGAGACTCACTCTGGGCAAGGATTGATAACAAGGAAAACCGGCATAGCTCATACAGCTTTTGATGGTTAGATAGACGGACAGACAACATGACAGACATGCAATTTAAATTATCTATCTTTGAAAGCCAAGTTATTTTCCAAAATGTAAAGTAACTAAGAATTTGGCATAAACTCTTTGGGAACATCGACATGAATTGGAAAATGCATGGCTAAGCATTGTGTCCCTTTTGGTCAACAGTAGTTTTGCCCTTGAATCTCTCTGATAGAGTTTTATTTTCTCTCTTTCTTACTGCTGAATTATGAACACCGACCTTCACAGAGGCAAGTAAGGCCTGCAGTGCTCTGTTCTGGGTTGTTTTGTGACCTCCTGGATGAGTCATGAATGCCATGAATCAGGTGGGTTTGTGTGTGGTGAAACTGAATCAACAAATGTTGATCACACATTTCTCGATTTAAATACAGAGATTATTATATAATTTTACATAGGTCAGGTCTTTTTTTCTTTTCTATTAGACTATCATACAGACATTCATGTTTGTGTTTGCTGAAGTTGTTTTTGATGTTAAAATCTGTTTTTTTTATACATGATTTAAAATATTGCCGTGTGACAATCAAACAAAATACAAGAAAGTTGTGAGATGGCATGTACTTTTTCACAGCACAATTCCTAAGAAGGTATCCACTTAGGAGGGTTGTGTATTATTAGACATATGTGACTGCAGGGTTCCTTATGATTCAAATTAAATCTGCAATAAACGATAAGAAATCCCATAGAAAGCCCTAAAACTGATCATTTAATGGAATTCTAATGTTTTTCTTAACAACTTTATGAAACACTATTTATCCAGTAAAATGAAACTTAATAGAGATCAAACTAGAACATCAGCGGTTATTTTCTGAAATTGTAATATTCTAACAAATGAATCTTAGATAATAAATGTGAGTCTGCCAGGTCCTTGCATTCAAAGAGCCCCTGCCATAATCCACACAAGAGTCACAAAATCATGCACTTTAAAGTGGTACCTTGAAGTTAGCTGCAAGGTCGTTCATTGTAATTTTTAACTGCCAATGATTTGGTGGTAATTAAGAGAAAAGCAAAAGAGAAGCAAATTTTGATCTCAGTGTAGATCTCACCAGGAAGGATAATTTTTTTAACAGGTTTCTAAATGCCATACAATTTGCACAACATGTAGAAGAACAGCGCATTCCTTGTTCGGTACATGTTCAAATGCTAATTTGTGCAAATAATACATACCTGCTTACATAAGTGCCCTCTACAATGATTTATATTCATAGTAGGAGTGTGTTAAGAGGTTTAAAGTATGTTCATCTTTTATTACAACATCATTTTGCAATGATAGATTTTAAATAACAATCCCACCTTGTATTAAGAATATTTTATCAGTGGAGAAATAAAAAAAGATAATTGTTTGCGTGCATTGCACTAATACATTTATTTTATATATTTATATAAAGAATTAAAACAAATTCACAACACAATTTGCTGAACTTGAGCCAGCGCAAACAGGTGGGTTTGGATATTTAAAGGAAGGCAGGTCAAGGGTTGTTGTGCAGCCACAGCAAATACTCAGTCCCTTCTAGTTTTCAGCCAACAGTTTGGACCAACCAAAGTCAGTTTAGCTTCCGGTCTTATCAGATGCTCAGAATGATAGAGTGGAGTTAAATTATCCAAACATTTTAAAATAATCACAAATATCTTGAAAAAGAATCCTGTAGCTGACTGGAAGCAAGTTCAGTGAAGCCAACACTGGGAATACTGTATGTGTATGCATAATGAGCTGCACCCTTCTGAACTATCTGCAGGCGATGACTGGAGACCTGATTGACCCCAGAATGCAAAGAATAGCAGGAATCCAAACAACATGTAATGAAGGGTATGAAAGGCAAACTCTAGAGCAACATAAGTTAGAGAATATCTGTCAAGATTCTCAGTCATCCAGTTATAATTCCCCTGATATAATTTTTCTAAGATGTTATTTGTTTCAATATAAATTTTTTCAAGGACTATCTTTATTTTGACAAAAAGCTATTGAAAACAGGCCTATACTTTGTCATTTTTCTTTGGAATGGGCTTTGCCTTTTTTAAACAATGGCTGAACAGCAGCATGTTTAAAAAGCTTGAGACACAGCCTGAGGACATTTTATAATTCCTAATAAATAAGGTCCTACTGGTCCTTCTGGTAAATTTGGAGGAAAACCAACAAGTTGACAATTAGAGGATCTTACCTTATGCACAAGATCAGACAGATCATTGACCGAAACAAGTTCAAAGATCTAAAAAAAAAAGAGAGTAAGCTGAGTTTATAGAAGAATAAACAATTAAACCAGAATTGGTTGAGTCTCTAATAGCAGATATCTTATAAACAGAAGCATTTTGCAAGCTGGAACATAAATTAAAAACAATTACTGCATTACTAGTTTTAATAGGACTTAGAAGGCTATTTAAAATATTAAGCAGAACTTGAACTGTGCCTATTTTAAGATATCAAGTTTGGTCATATACTCCTGCACAACTTACTATTATTTAATAAGTTGCCCAACATTTAATCAGAATCAATCAACCAATCAATCAATCATGTTTTTGAAGCTTTGTTTCATAAACAAAGCATTAGGCTTTTTTTTTCTGTTTATGAAGTAATTACGCACATGAAAATGACTCAACTGGTATACAGGTTCATAAATGCATGCATCACTTAAAATGTTTCTAGACAAAACAGACAATATTAGGGCCCATAAAAAAAATCTAATTTCTTTCAAATAAAAAAATGCAATTTATTATCATAATGGAAATACCATGCATAACACAATACAACTGTATTTGAGACAAAAGTAATTAAAGAAATGGATGGCTTTGAAGACCCCAAATGATGTTTACTGGATAAATAGCAGAAGGAAAGTGATTGTTCATAGAAAGTCATAAAATCCTGTGGGCAGTTTGTTATAAGTCACGTAAGAGGCATAGCAGATATGTAAAAAAAAAAAACTACGTTTTTGGAATATATTCAAACTGAAATGTCTAATGGAAGACAAACTACATATGAACATGACATTGCTGCTGTGAGGAGCATCATACTGTGAGGAGGCTCTTCTTCAGAGTTGATGTGTGATGGACAAACTTCCAACTTTAAGTCCAGACTTAAATGTGGATATAGCCTTTCATTTTGTAAAAAGGAATAAAAATATATATCAATTATCCTTTTTATAATCTTATTTGAAATGCTGCAAGTTGTGTCATTTGAGCTCGGAACATTATGAAATGTACAAACTTCATATTCCTGTAATAAAAGTTCTGATTCACAGCTGTGTCAACAATGAAACAACAACCAAGAAACAAACTAATCTAAGCCTCATTTTAAAATCTTTATTGTCTAGGCGGTGATAAGATCCTAATGCAATACAGTAATTGGCGGTTACTCTCTATATTTCTGACAGATCTGGTAAAAATATTTTACATTTTAAGGTTCTTTCAAGCAGTTGCTGGAACACTGCAAGAATTCCAATGTGCTGCAACTTCCTTTTCTACAAAAAAGCATAAGATTTAACCAGATCTTGAAATCCAACTCCTCATATAATTTCTAAAACATGGCTTCTTCATGAGGCTTTGAACCAAGTGGGGAGTAGAAATCAAAGGAAACCCTGTAGAGCCCAGTCAGCAGTGAGGAAGATGCAATGGGCCTCACTGGCTCCTTTAGTCTAACACTTCAATCCCAGGCAGCTCAGTGTCTACAGAGACACCTCAGGGGACCACTGTGGCTGGAAGAGGAGGGTCTTTGAATGGAGGGCCTTGTATGTGGCCAGCAGACGTAGGAGAGAAAAAGAGAGAGGAAAGCGAGGCTGTGTCCCCTCAGTGTGCAGACAGACGGGGTATTGATGGACCCATGAATGTTTAGATGTTTGGATAAAACTTTTAAACATATTAAAAAAATATTATTTAAATAACGGTATGGGTTTTTTTTTTCTTTTTTTTTTAACTTACTAAATATAACTTTTTGTTTGTACTTCCTCTCACTTCACAGTGGAGAAATGAAAACACTTTTGTCTTATTTTCCCTGTAAATCTGTAAATCCGAGTCTTCTCTGAAGTGCAACAATTTGTTATTTTATAGAAAAGGAGTTTTTCCGTCCCTTGATATATAAACCCAATCTGACACCATTTCATTAAAGCAGCAGTTATGACTCACAAATTCACACTTCCCCAACATTCATTCTTACATCACTGCCTGCCCTCCTTTCCACTGACACAAAGAGAAAGACAATTATAAGATGCAACCAAAAGTAAAATTAACCAGCATTACATTTTGCAACATTATCATTTTATCCTATTTCTTTAAGCACGTCACCTCAAAATGCCTTTCTATGTGCTATGCATCTTTTTCCCCCACAACTATTGATGTTTTCTGTGACATATTGAGATCTGCACTATAGCAGATGAACATTACAAAAACATTTCTGTTTTTTTCAAACAAGCACGATGAGATAATTGATAAGTTCCTAAATAA